TCATCATATAATAGGTATAAACAAAAAAACTAAAAAATTATATTATAGAAGTTATTTTATATAGAATTATATATTTTCGAATTCAAAATATTTTGAAAATTATATTATGTCTAGTTAATATGCACATATGGATATTTCGTGAATATTTCAAGTATATCTAATACTTATAGTTTTTCATTTTTTAAATTTTACACCCTCAAAGAATTATTTAGATTTTAAATTTGCTACCATAAACCACCCTCAAAGTTTAAAAATCTAAGAATTTTTACTGCTCCAAGAAACAATGACGGACACAAAAATAAACCCTTCTAATTTTAAATATAATACATTCATCACTCCGCTCAAATAAAGAATTATCAGTGTGCAATGTAGTAATGAATCTTGATATTATAATTGTATAGCTGACTCTACATAAGCCTGCAAGGAAAAACCGTGACTAAAACTTATAAAGAAACGCGTCATGGTCCTATATATGTACTGACAGTTTGAGTATAATGAAATTTATTGGTTTTCCGGATATTTATTTACATTTTTTTCAGTTTCTTAATCACATTTACAACGTTTCTATACATTTTTAACTTCTCAAACTAATTTCCACGTCAAAAAGTTAATACTAAAAATGTTATTTGTATAAATTAATATTATTTTATATGTTATACATCATGTGCGCGTACGTAAAATTGTTTAGAACGTAAATTCTTGTATTTTAAACTGTTATAATTCATAATAATTTAAGAAGTTAATTTATTGGATATTCTATCTTGCGTCTTTACTAACTGGTTAAATTATTTATTTTGTTGCTTATTGTTAGTCAACAATAATATGTCAGCTTGAGTTGGATAAAAGTATATGTAAGTAAGCTAAAAAAATATATTTTTGGAATAATGAATTATGTTGATTTTATATGCTAATCTCCCAGGTGGCTTAATAATAATTATCATGATTACAATTTTGTATACAAAATACAGATTTTGATTATAAAACCTAACATGATAGCAATTTCACGTTTATATTGTTTTGAAACGATATTTAATCCTCTTAACGTTGATTAGTTTAGTATAAAAATGTTTTATATAGGTAGTAGAAAAAAAATTAATACCTTCAATATAGCCATTACTGTAGGTAACACAATTAATATAATTCATATTTTTATATTTTTATATTAGTTCTACAAAATAATAATTATAATTATCTACATATTGTGTAAAAGATATGTATAATATTTAATTTTTTGACATTAAGATAATATTTTTAACAGTTTGTTGTGATTAAAAATAATCTGGTAGCTGAAAGGAATTCTTGAGACAATCTAAAATGACGAATGAACCGGCTACCAACTACGTCCAAACATATTCGTTGTCTCGTATCAATGGTTCCGGTCCATAAATCATATTATGTTCGTGAAAAAATATCAATAAGGACACTTTTGAAAAACTTATAGGTACCTATATAATAGCATGTACATATACATCCTTCGATTCACTTTGAAAACGTATGAAAACGATTTTAGACACATTTTGATTTTTACTTAGAATTTGTTGTGAAAAATACTTAATAGTGTATAATAGGTTGAAAATAATAAATACATTTATTTTTACAACATTTGTAAAACTATTCTTAGTTTATTCAGGTATTATTTTTTAATTCCAATAAATTTACAAAAATACGAACGATCATTTTCGGTAAACACTTTAATTATTAACATAATATAATAACACTTCTTATGGATTAAATATTTTCAAGAGTGTTCCATACTTCCATATAATATTTCTAGTGAATTTTCAGTTTTGTACAATTGTAGAAGCCGTTTATTTTTATGTTTTATGCAAATATCTAAAAAAAGTTTCGGTAACCATTTTATTAGTTCTTTATTTTGCTGATATATTTTATGCAGTTTTCTAAAACGGAAACTAAAGTAAAGAAATCATTTCGCTCCTGTATTTTTAAAACCATATGAATATTTTATTTTTACTCCTTTGTTTTTGTAAGCAGTCAAAATCCGGTCCGAGTTATAAATATTAAGCGGGGCTAGATTGAAATTGTAATTTTTACGAAAATACTGGGCGGCCGAACACCGAATTAAGATAATGAACGTCATATATTATACACTGTATAATCTGCTGTAGACGTGCTGAAACTATTTCCCGTCCTCAGAGTAAACTCCATTTTAAAGGCTTACCTTTAAGATTTCTTTTAGTCCTCTACTAATTAGTGAATGTTTTTCACGCATAATCTCATTTTTTAACCAAACTATAAGACCAAATAATATATATGTATCTAGGTATATATATTTTAATAAAAAATTAATTTGCTATTGATAAATTTTTGTGAATTTTTGTCAAATTTAAAAGGTCGTGAATGTATGTGTGTATGAGAGAATGCGTATTGCGTAATGTATACCAACCATACCAACCAAAAGTTCACACAACTAGTTTTAGGCAGATATAAGTATATTTTTGTCTTTATTTATAATGAAGCGCTAACATTAAATGTCTGACCTTATTCGTATTTTACCAATTTCTGTTTAAACAGCAGTCACTCTCAGATTGGTCACGGGCCCCCTTTATTTTCTTATTCTTCTTCTTCTTCTTCTTGTTAATTAAACAGTTTTTTAAAGGTTCTTTATTTAGACCGTTGTCTACCGCAAATACTTTTAGAACGAGAATTTATGGATTTTTCCCTCTTTATTATACAGAGAATTTTGTTTGACTTTTTATTATATTTACTCTATTGAAACGAGTACCATTCGAAATTTCCATGAAACCATTGAGTGTTTTTTGGGGCCAATTCTGAATAAATCTAACCTTTGTCTCTCCGTTTTTTCTTTCACCAATGTACCAAACCTTCGTAGTTAAGATATATTTTATTTTAAAAAAAATGTTTAAAACTAATATGAGTGGTTGGTACCTTCACCACTTTTTTACTCTACTTATTGCACCTACTACGTGACTAATAGGATGCGTTAAAAACATCAAACATTATTATAACACATAATAATACATTATAACGATGATTATAATATTAACATATTATTATTGTATTTATAATTATATTTATTCAATTCTATTATTATATGATACTTAGTATTTGGATTCAGCTGCTCGGTTTTCATGGTATATATTAATTCTCATGATAAAAAGGAATACCTCAAATCACAATGGTTTTTATATTTTTAGACTAAGTAGGTAATGGTATTGAAATAAAATATTTTTGAGGAATAAAGAATGTCTGTTATTTAGTGCGATTTAATATCTTCATATTCAAAAAAATATTCATAATATATTTTCTTAAGGGTATTGGAAGCGGTGATTTTTTGTGTCGTTGTCTAACATATTTATTATAAACGTGTTCTATTTCCAACGTATCGATTAATCTAGTGAAGCGATAAGAATTCTGAAAACAGATGAATTTGTCGTCAAGTCTACTTGAGAGCGACTTTCCCACATTTTTGATATTATCCCCCCAAAATAATAAAAACGATATATTAAAAAGAGTAATTAAAAAATTGACATATTTCAATTTTTGGAGAAGTTTAAATCAAAAAATCAAAAATGTGGGAAAGTCGATCTAAAGAAGATAAAGACACAAAATCGCCGCTTCCAATCCTCTTAAAAGACTATGAGTTATAACTTATTGAAAAGTTAAATAAGAAATAAAATACTACATATTGATTGCAGTATAGGGAGTAGGTGCGGTTTTTGGTGTTGTGTTTAATACTAAAATATTTTTTTTTCAAATAATTTATAATGATTTTCCGGTATATTTTAGCTTTTTTTCCAAGAGGATGTAATTAGTATTAATTATTTCCTATCTCTAATGGGAAACCTAAGAAAAAAATTCTTTAATTCTGTCACATCTATAGTATGTAGGCACCTATTAGAGCAAATTGTATATTTTTGTAAAATCACATTGCAAGGTCAATTTTTCAACATTTTAATTTTAAAACATAAATAATGATATTTGTATATACTATATACATAGGTATTAATTCTTTTTTTTTTAAATTATATGTCTTAGTTTAAACTTTAAGATAATACTTATCAATGGGCGACTTCCCCTTCACATCAATATATATCCCCATCCAATTTACTCATTGTATAACACGTAAATACTAATGACAGATTGTAAATATAAACATTTTATTCAATAAAAAAAACTTTTTAGGTACAATAGTCTGATAATAAGTTATTTTACATATTCTAATTTTATTTTAACGCCCATCGTGTTGGAAATATGAAGCAAGCCCTCATTTTCATCTGTATAATAATATTTGACCCGTTGATATGACGAAAATAGTTGGTTTATCATCTTCTTGTTATAGGTTAAAATATAATACTTTGGTAAACTGTATAATAACATTTGACATTTTGTCACACATTATTCACAAATAATATTAACTGTATTTCTTAAATTTCATATTTGCATGTATAATTTATTGGTTTTTCCCTTCATTAATTAGATTCCTTAAGATAAGTAAATTTCTTATAAAAATAAAAACGCACGGTTTTGAAATAGGTAGCACAAACATCTGCATAATTTAGCATAACATTATATTTTTTTTCGTATTATTGAATTATTTTAATGTATACGTCTAAGGTATCTTGTTACAATCTGGTGAATATTTCGTAAAATATTATGTCGTCACATGTACATCCAATGTATAGTAACAATATTATATTATTATTATGAGTGTATGACGTATGTATTATAAATATAGAATATTAAGTATAAAATGAATCGTAAATTAATATGCTACACTATACTACCATTAATAAACCTTTTAATTATTTTGTCTCTGCAGGAAATTATTGATAATTATAAAATTTTTTTCCTTAATCGTATATATTTTGGTAATAATATCATTGTTTTATTTTATTGTTACAAAAATATTTCATTATATGGAAAAATAGAAAAGTTTATTATGGAAACTATAACTATTATGGAATGAAAGAAATGTATAAGAACAATGTTATAAATATTATATCTGATTCTTTTTTCAGACTTTAATCAAGACGGCAAACCAGACAATATAAGCTTCATGATTAAGAGGGTGAAAGTGCACTCTAACCCAGACCCTACCTACAAGTTCCTGGGGAATTACGGAGTAGAGAAGTTTTTAGAAATATTTTCGGGTAAGTCGAAACCAACTAAATATGGGCACGCGCAAAGGTTCATACTCTGTGAATTTTACAATTCCTTAAAGAAATCATTCCTGCAGGATATAAAATTATTTTACTACTCAATTGGTATTTTTACGCTCTAAAAGGTCAACACAAAAGACCCTTTAACACCACCGGTGCTATTTTTTATGCATTTATATTTACGTCTAAACTGATGGGCTTTTGTTTTTTGTTTTATCTTTTTTTCTCATTTAAAATTCCATTTATAACAGCTGCTTCAAAGAGTACCACAAACTAAATGACTTAACCGGGGTAAAAAAAGTTCCCTCTCCATTACTAACATTGTCGGGGTACAATAATAATGAAATAAATAGAAACAAACCTTGGTAGTAAGTTTCTGTTAATTCTCAACTAAGATGAACATAGATACACAGATCTAGGCGAGTACCTAAAGTGAGTAGGCATATATAGGTACATATAGTTTGCAGGTTTCATTGATTTGAAACATTAAAATTAAAGTGTTAAAGAGGTGAAATCGTTTAGGAAACGATCACACGTTTATATCTAAATGGTAATAATTTAAGACTCCAAGGTAAACGGGTTGCCTTGCAAAATTATTTTGCAAAAAAATATGCCATAATATAGAATTCCAAGACTAATAATATTAAATATGTTTTACAGTAAAACAATGTAGGTATAGGCTTATTAATTATTTAAATTACTTTCCAAGCATTAAAAAGAAATTGTTTCATTAAATATTTAAAGCTGCGCAGTTGCACTAATAATACAACGAGATTCATGACTTTTAAATGTAATTTATACATCTAAAAAACAAGTAGTCTTTATATTTATTGAATCTTAATAACATATTAACATATATGTACCTAATGGCTAATATATATATATTATTTTAGATGAATTTCAGAATTTCAAATTCCGATTTTGATCATTATTGATTGATTATTATTACATAATTCTATACATTTGTATCGTTTATTGTATCTGTGGTAATATAGTATATAATAATACATTATATAGATACTAAATAATGTAAATTTATAAAGCACGAATGGCCAAGTCTTCAAAGCGACGTAGAAATCAATTAAACAAAAAAAAAGACACGTTATAGTTCGTATACTTTGATGAGACTGTTTTGAGTTTTATGAAAGTTTAGTTAGGTGAAATAGCAATTTCAAGTTGGTAAAACTGTATTTACTATACGTCTATACCTTATAAAATGAAATGTACAATTACGTACACCTACATACAGCATATCTTAATGGTTATTATAAAAACCTTGAAAATAAAAAAATGTGTTTATAATATTTTTGGGCATACTGTGTAGGTACATTTTACAAGAATTTATATTATGTATTAGCTATTTTATTATTTACTTGAGTCCACTAAATTAATTAAATTTTTTTAACGTAATAAGAACCGAATAGATGGCGCCATGGGTGTATTTATATTTCGCCGCTCAGCTTTCCGAGGGCAAAAGTTGGGTCGATCGTATATTATAGCCCTTAGGCTGCTCTTTAGAAATTATCTACAATATACAAAAAGTAGCATGTAAATCAAGTCACTAGTTGCAGTGCCAACCCGTTACATACGTAGTAATATTTTCAATATTATATATAATATATATATATACAAATACCTAGAATATTATATAATGTAAATGTATATATAAATAGAATAATGATAATATGATATATTAAAAAAAATCGAAACGCATTTCTATGTAGCTCTTCCAAGCGTATACGAATAAAAAAAAATTGATTATTAAAATTGGCTATTTCCAGTAATTGGAGATATCAATAAAGTATATAATTACATTTTATAATACTACTAAATTCGAATTATTTTTATGAGTTGGGTACGTGAGGAAGTTGACAACTAAAACACTTAGTATCACCTATTATGTTAATGTTATCAATAACCATATAATATTGTATATTAAGAGGATGTCAGCGCACTATTTGTTTTGTCTGTCCGACCCACGCACAACATAGACAAAATGCATTTACGCAGAATAATTTTTTCTATGTTTCTAAGTAATGTTAAAGTAAAATCACCCATTACAAAAAAGATTGAGAATTATATTTTTGAGGCAATGTTATATCAATTTGTCTAAATATTGTCTCAAAACAATTTAAACATCATTTTTTTGTTTATTTTGAAAGTCGAATACAAAGTCAAATAACAATAAAATATAAAATCGATATGTCATCCGCTCAAAAATGTTAATCTCTATCTTTTTTGTAATGGGTGATTTTACTCTAAGATTACTTAAAAACATAGAAAAATGATTTTGCGTTAATGAGTCTTGTCTATGCTGCTCGTGGGCCAGCGAGAGAAAGCAAATAGTCCGCTGACATCCTCTTAATACTGTATACTATATAAGTACTAAAACTTGTACCTATAGTATTGTGTATTACTTATATTGCAAATTGCAATTGTAAAAATATTTTTAACAAATTTATAAAAAAAATTTTGTTTGTTACTTTTTATTATATAATTATTATTATATTATTATTTGAGTATAAATGATAATAATATTATATATTGCTATATATTATTAAAACTATAATATATAATAATACCGTAGGAAATTTGAATAATTATAGATTTGGAATATTATGTTTCTCTATACCTATGCCGTACCTATATAGAGGTTTATATAGGTAGTCTTATGTTTCATATTTATTATTTGAAATATGAATCTTTTCTTATAGTTATAGTTTATTTTAAATTTCAATATTTTAATAAATATCATTATTTAAAGATTGAATACCTACTCAATAGGTAAGTAACTAATACATTATTTGTTTCACTTTATAATAAATAAAAATCTTAAGGTAAATTTTAAATATTGTTAATAATCTTAGTATAATTCTATTGTTAGAAAACAGTAATCTTAATAAACAATACTTATTATTATATAAGCTAATTGCCCTTTTAGCCGATAAGCTATATGTTCAATAAAAATAATAATACCTAGGTACTTAGTGCAGTTTTACAGGTACATTCTTATAATCATCATATTTATGAAATGAGAAAATAACAAATACAATATTCATACTTACATAATACTATATAGTTACGTATAATATATCTACAGTTAGTATTCTTTAAGGCTAATACTTTAAAATCAACAAGTAAACATTCATCTAAGTATAAAAGGTGCTTTTGTGTTAAAGTATATTGGTACTTTTATAAAAACAATATTCGTTTTACAATTTTAAAACTTTGGTTACAAGATTGTAAATGTTACTTTTCCACTATTTATATTAAAGTAATACAGAATTTAAACTTTTGAAATAACTTCTTAGATGAAATAATTTTATCATTGATATAATATTTCTTATAAAATCACGTCCCACTTTCCATCCTCTAGTGTCGAAAACTCAAAACTATTGAAATGAAACGATTCCAATTCTTATAGTAATACCTGTTCCATATCCAATCTTTTCGTTATTTTCTTAAACTGTAATAAAATCTTGTACCTATTCATTACGCATATAATAACACTTTAGCAACATAATACTTAAAAAATTATTTGTTGTAACTAAGTAAATCATATATATTTTAATATTTTGGAAATTAGATTAACCTATAAGTTATAACGTCCCAAACAGATTTCAAACACAAATAAAAAAAAAATTTAATTATCACTTATTAGTTATTACGATAAATGAATAATATTATAATTATTTAAATAACATGAATTCTTTGATTTTTGGCTTGGTTTATCTATTCATAAAATTAACTAATAAATTACTAGAAATTGGCGTCAACTAATACAATAATTCATGAAACTTTTATATTATGGTAAGTTAGAAATTTCATTATTTTTTTCACCAATTATTCATTTATTTTATGGTAACCTATGTATGATATTTTCTAATCAAATTTTTGAAAGTTTAAAGTACTTTATACCCTACAGATAATTTTTATATGACAGTTTATTAATTATGTCGTATTCGTTTTTAGACGTACATTTAAAAAGTTCAAACTCTGTGCTGGTTTTCATTTGTTATAACATACTTACTATAGATATCTGTTAAAAAAATATAAAGAGTAACCACAGATGAATAAAATAATAGCACATAAATTATATTCAATAAGGTTTTCATATTTTTAATTTTCGAAAAAAATATCCATTTTATGTATGTATTATGAGTTATGTAACGTGCACAAATGAAAACTCAATAATACAAAAATGTATTTCATTTGAAAATCTTGCTGTGTAAATGAAATGTGATTGCAAAAAACGTATGATACAAGTTATATCGTAATAACAGGAAAACAAATATGCTCAGTTCTCACGTTTCATAATACTATTAAATAGTTACTATGCGTATCTAGTTACTGATATTGTATTATAATCAAACGATTTTAATCATTTTATGATTATTACATTTTGGAACATTTTATCATCAAAAAAACATTTCAAGTTATTCAGCTATTCACTTACAGTAAAATTTATATCGATAAGAGGTACATTTAAATATGTTTTAGTACAAAATTCCTTTATTTTACGATTATTTTGCAATATACCTGTAGGCTATGTTTACATCAATAGGTACCTATACTATATTTTTCTTTATTTTTATTATATTACTTTTTATTCAATCAATGTTTGCAAAATAATAATTTTTTAACTTTGATTGTTCCTTCTATTATCTCTCATATTTACATTTTTACTAACTATATTTTCTGTGGCACTTTCCATAACCCCACAAATACAATCTAATATTTTTTTAAACAAATAAACTTGAATACTCATTTTATATTATATACAATCAATAAAAAATTTAGCAGTATGGAATATTATATTGGTTTTACAATGACGTTTTAGGTTCTGTGAATCGATAAATGGTATAGCATTTACAATGGTGTTTTTCTTTGTATTATTATCTTATACTGGGAAAACTTTCGGAAAAAGTGTTACTTCAAAAGCTTCCAGTATAGTGCTTTATCGATTGGAAATCGAGTTTTGTTGGTAATTTGATTCATATAGATATATACTATAAAGGTACATCACTTTGCGATTTTCTTGATAATTTCCAAAAGGGTAAGGAAAAACACAGAAATATAAGTTTCAAATAAATAAAGACTTCATATTTTCAGCAAGTGCATGGTTTTAACCGAACTCTACTTAAAACCATTAAACAATTGATGATGATTGCTTTAAAATTTAATATCACAACACAAATTCAACACGTAACCCGTGCTCTGTGTACTCAACTTCTGTACTTTTTTTTTTAAATTAGTGTTTCTTTTTTTTCTCGCTCGTCTGAATCCATACTTGTATAATGTTTGAATAGCAAGCAATTTCTTTTATCAATTCAAATCTATTAGTCTATTTACTCTACATAGGTACCGTCAGGTACAGATACATTCGATTGTGTTTATCGATCATAAAAAATTATCAGATATTGTCAATCCACTTAAACAAGTGTAAACTAGTTTATAAAATATGCGTAGTTGATGGAACGTATTTATTTTTGCAACGGTAAAATAAAAAAGTGGGTGTCGCTCTGCTGTACAGTAGGTTACAAGTAGGTCACTGTATAATGGATAGTATTAAATTTGAATTCAATGATATAATATCATTGTATAAGAAAACGATTCTGAGCGGTGACGGTATGTCCTTCTAGGTATAAGACATATTATATACATATCTCGTATGGTATTAAAAAAAATTGACCTATAATGAATTCCAAATTAATCATATCACAATATCCATTAGGTACTTATAACGCGTTATACACCAACAACAAACCCTGATACTATCATAGATATATATAGTAGATTACTTTAGAAATTTCAAGTACCCACGAATAAAATTATACAATCACAACAAAATAACTAAAATCGTAATTCTTGGTTTAAATATGAAATTTTGTGTAAATTTGAAATTAAAATGTCTGTAAAAAATAAGTGTGTTTATATATTTTTTAGATTTTTTGGTTACAGTATGAATTATTTAAGAGAATTTTTGTTTTAAATTTTCAACTCTTAGTTATAAAAACTGAACATTTTATAATTTTTTAATTCCAACGATTGATAATTTTCGAGATTTTGAAAAATTTTGTCAAAATTCCAACTTTAAATGCTTATAAAAAAAAAATCGTGCCTATGTATTTTTAAAATTTTTCAACTGATATTGTAACAATATATAAGAAAGCTTGTATTAAATTTTCAGGCTTTTTGGCCCACCAAATAAAATTTTATTGACAATTATAAAAAAAAAAACTAAAAAAATTGAAAACTGAAAATGTCCGTAAACAGCTCAAAAAGAGTCAAAATATTTTCAAAATTGTATGATGTATAGGAAATGCTAATATAAACATTCAGTGAAATTTTCATGTATCTACAGTTATTCGTTTTTGAATTACAACAAAATAAGGAAATCGCTACATGAGAAATCGAGTGAAAATCCAATGTTGTAAAAATTTGAATTTCAAACGCTCATAAAAATTTAATTTGACTGTCCGGTAGAGATTTTTTTATTGATAAAGGTAGATAATCTTATAAGGAATCTTGTGTTTCATTTTCAAATCTTAGATTTAAAAAGAAAAATTTTTACGAATTCTTAACTCAAAATAATTTGCTAATTTTCGTGATTTTTCCATATTTTGTCAATTTTTGAACTTTAAATGCTTATAAAAAAAAATTGTGACTAAGGATTTTTAATATTTTTCATCTGCCTTTGAAACAACATATTAGGAGCCTTCTATTAAATTTTCAAGCCTTCGCAACCAACAAATAAAATGTTATTGATATTTTTAGAAAAAAAACTAAAAAAAATGGAAAATGAAAATGTCCCTAAACAGTTCAAAATAAATCAAAATATTTTGAAAATGTTATCGTGTATAGAAAATGCAAATATTAACAACCAGTGAAAATTTCATGTATATACGTTCATTTGTTTTAGAGTTACACCAATAATCAAAATCGATTTTTTGGAAAACCAATTTTGCGTAAAAATTCCCGTTTTTCCTTAATTTTTATGTTGTTTTTCCCGGCGCTTGTGAAAACTACTGGGAAATTTATACTTTTGACCCCCCAAAGTACCAAATAGATTCACTTTCCTACCAGAAAAGCTACTGATGAAGAAAATCCAAGCACTTTTACTGTCCTAAAACGTGATGACAGACACAAAAATATAAATAAAAATATAAAAAAAAACATACATCATTGTAAAACCAATACATTCATCGCTCCGCTCAGAATCTAAAAATATCTATACATAATATTATGTACCTAATGAGATTTTTTTTCGAAATGTTTTTTTTTATATATACCTTATATAATAATATAGGTATAAATATATATTTATACATCATTTGATATAGGTATTACGTATTATTATATTATATATGTATATCCAAAACTGCTCAAACTCGTCCGGTAAAACTTTATATTTTCCACACCTGCTACTGATATACTAACATTAATAATTATTATCAAGTTTGAATTTTTGTTTTCAGAGGAAGATTACGATGCCTTTTGTTTGGCTTACATGTTCACGTACAGAGATTTTGAAATGGGTACTTTGGGTTTGGCGTGGACTGGGGATTTGAAGAACGCCGGCGGTGTATGCGAAAAAAACGGAGTGAGTATCCATATAGAATTTTGTCGACGGTTTAGCGTTTAAAACAAAAACCCATAGCCAATAGTAATTATAATTAAACTTGTGTTTCAGCATTACAGGGGTAGTTTAAAAAGTTTGAACACCGGTATAGTGACGCTATTGAATTACGGAAAACACGTACCTTCTGCAGTGTCTCACGTTACTCTGGCACACGAAATTGGCCATAACTTTGGTTCGCCGGTTAGTGTATATAAATTGAATAAACAATATTTATTCATCGTTAGTTTTTATGTTTCGTCCATTAATATAACTGAATTTGCTTGCAGCACGACCCCGAGATATGTACACCCGGCGGTGACGACGGCAACTATATTATGTTCGCTCGAGCGACTTCGGGCGACAAGAAAAATAATAATAGGTTTTCGCCGTGTAGCTTGTCCGCTATAAATCCTGTACTAAATGTCAAAGCCAGGAGTACTAGAGGATGTTTCACCGGTACATAATCATAATTCAAATTAGATTTCATTATTTTTTTTTATTTTTTTTTTACTTCGCCAAGCGTATATGGTATATTATGTATATTATATGATATATTAATATTGTATACATATATTACTCGTTAAGGTACCTATACACACTGTACAATATTATTCGTTTCTATTGTTACAGAACCGCAAACATCGATTTGTGGTAACGGCGTCGTTGAACCTGGCGAAGAGTGCGATTGCGGGTGGGAAGAGGACTGCAAAGACGCGTGTTGTTTCCCTCAAAGGAGATACTCTCCGCCCGAAGAACCGCCTTGCAGATTGACGGCAAAGAGTGTCTGTAGCCCTTCACAGGTACCCATAGTTGTTCAGCTCTCAGTGGTGTTTCCTGCAGCTCGTCAGAATATTGTAGAAAATAAATATTTATTTACATTTTTTTAGGGACCTTGTTGCACGAACGATTGCAATTTGAAAATAGGAGAACTTTGTCGCAATGACAACGGTTGCCGCGATGCTAGTTACTGCAATGGCATGACTCCTACCTGTCCTGCTTCTATCAACAAGCCAAATAAGACTGTATGCAACGAAGAGTTTGTGTGTTACATGGGAGTGAGTATAAAATAATTAATACTTATATACCTACATTTTTTTTTAAATTTTATATAATGTTATAATATTTTTACTTAATTGTTTATAATTTTCAGGAATGTACTGGATCTATATGTCTAGCATATGGACTCGAATCCTGCCAATGTTTACCCACCCCTCAGGACTCTCCCACAAAAGCGTGCGAGTTGTGTTGTAAACTACCCGGTGAAAACCAACCTTGTTTGTGAGTAAAACTTTTATTTTGCCATTAGGTAAATTACAATATTATATATTTTTTTAAAACTGAAATACGAAGAGAATTACATAATAAAACAATATGTACAATGTGACAGAACGACTTGAGAGTAAAGGGGGAAGAACTATATATTAAAACAGAATTCTAATTATCACTTTTGTAATAATCCGTTTAATTAGGTCATCATATTCTTGGAATAACGTGCCATACGACATACCAGATATGTATTCTAAGCCAGGTACTCCTTGCAACGACTACAATGGATATTGTGATGTATTTCAAAGATGTAGAGAGGTATGTTATCGTAATTATTAATATTAATTTTCAAAAACTAGTATATTTAAACAAGTATATTAGATACCTAATGTATTAAAATGGAAAAATCAAAACAATAAAAAAACCAATTATATAAAATAATATCTGTTTTATGTATAGGTTGATCCATCCGGACCTTTAGCAACGCTTCGAAAATTGTTGTTATCTGAAGAAAGTATTGCCTCATTTAAAAAATGGGCTATAGATCATTGGTACTATTCTGGTCTAATAGTGGCCTCTTTCCTGTTGATGCTGGTACGTTTATCATTTTTTTACACTTAATGAATAATAATGGTAATATAAATACAATACATATTATAATGTATATACATATATACGTATATTATATAATTATTATATACAACGTAACAATACAAATAAACATTAAATGTTTTATGTAAATTAATTTTCATATTGATTTTTTTGTTTACTTAATTTTTTTTTTCATAAATACAATTGCGCATAATTGTGTTCAGGTTATTCGGAATTCACATTGTAAGTCATTGAGTGTATGAAATACAGATCCTAACATCCAGTATTTACTTATCCAGTATTTACCTTATCCTGCAGTTAATTCCGAAATGTAGACTACAAGATCCTAATCCATAGACACATTAGGGCTTAAACCATAATAGTATTATTAACAATATAAATTCTCAAATTACCGAAATCGTAGGCTTTATTTGATTAGATACACTAACACCGTACCTATATTATTATTAACTACTATAACTAACAGCGTCTAATATTACAATTATACACGTTTTTAGGTTCTAAGTACGCGGTTGTTTGGAAAACGATCGGATCCAAAATTAAAATCGGTGACGATCATCCACAGTTCGACCACAGAAACTGTCCGGTTGCCAGCTGACGGTGACAATCAAAACGTTACCGTTCATCCCGCTGCCGTGCGTTCGAAACTCCCATTAAAAAAACGCGTACGTGAAAAACGCAACGTAAACAACAACAACAGCCCCGCGAAAAAGAGTCGCAAGAACGTCGCAGCGGAGGAAGAGTCGACAACGGAGACGTCTTCGCCCAAAAAAGTCGGCCCGGGAGCCCAAAAGAAAGAACGGAAGACGAGGCGAAAGAAATCAAAAGGCGTCATCGACTACAGCGTCGCCCAGAACAAAGTGCTAGTTGCAAACAAGAAAACTCCCGAAGACGATCCGCTTGGCAAGGTTCGTAATTGGCTGTTGAACTCGCATCACATCGAGGCTCTCGGTGGCACGCTGAGAAAGTCAAAGTCTTCGCCAGCCGGTTTCGCGAACCCCCCTGAACCGCCCAGGCCGGTGGTCAAAGCTCAACCAAAAAACAAAGACAATCAAGTTAGTTTGCAGGTAGTGTACAAGCCGCCGTTCAAGTTTAGCGTCAAGCTCAGCAAGTCCAAACCGGACCTGACGAAAGACAAGCGGCCGGACCGGACCAAGCAGCGCGCGGCCCTGTTGATCCGGGCCAACCGGGCTCGCGGTGGCGGTGGCGGCGCCACCGGTGCTGCCAAGCAACAAGCGAAGAAGCAGCAAGCCAATAACGGCAGTAGCAGCCGGGTCGCCCCGCAGGAGCCGAAGAACGCGTCGGCCGCGGCCACCGCGAGCAGACTGCAGCCACCGGAGCCCATATACGAGAACGCGGCCATCGACTTGCTGCGCATGTCGTCCACAGAACACGACGGCCACCAGCCGATATTCCCGGTGGCCGCGTCTCCGCCAAACAAACAGAGGAAGTCGTTCGCGGGCGTGGACGCGAAAACCGACGAGGCGCCCCGGTCCAAGCGGAACAGCGTGCCACAACAGTCTCTGCAGCAGCCGAGCACGTCGGGTAACAGCAACCTGATGCGGTTCCCGTCCACCGAGAACAAGCAGCAGGCCAACAACAATTGTCCCGCGCCCTCCAATAACGCGAATAGTAAAGACGAAAAAACGTGATAGGCGCGCGACGAGGTAATTTTTTTTTTTTAATTATGTTAATACTAATATTACGGCATTCTTCGTCCGCCATCGTTACGACCTCGGCTCTACCACGGTTATCAACGTAGATAACCGTGGTATCTACGTTAATCTCGTTGATCGAATTCCGGTCGGAACCGTGGAGAACCATTATCCTTTACCGCGGCGGCGCTCGTGATCTCAGTCCCGAAGCACTCCCTCACCCGCCTACCCACCAATACCCACACACTTCCTTTTCCGTATACAATATGTCAATATCTCTCGTTCGCGATATTAATAATATTATCGTCCACAGGTCACCGCCGCGTGTTCCGATCGCCAATCAGTCGTGGACATAATAAAATTCCAACGCCGTGGACACGAAAATCGGTCGTCGGAAATATGCGCGTGTGTCAGTTTTTGCGAAGTCGTAGCGTTTTCGTTTCGCTCAACTCGATCCGTAGAATCTTAATTTGATATCGTTTTGGCGCACCGTCGGTCGACGCACTACTCTGTAATAATAATTGATAATAACGAAAATGAGAGAAAACTAACTACCTAATATGCAAAATTTACATTGCCAATGACAATACTTCGAACGGTCTCTTTATCGAGCGTATTACTCTTTTTTGTTTTTTACGCGTTTTCTCATTCCATTTTCCATTTATGTACTATAATGTAGGCATAACCCGAGATTTCGAAACATAATAATATACCTATTATAAAAACACGAAAACGCATCCATCACAAATATTATTATGCAACACACTGTTTGTTGTATATAGGTAATAAACGAAATTATAGTCATTTTTATTATTAAATGAGTTTCCCTCCTCCACCCCCTCCTCTGCATTATCCTCGACCGTTTTTATTTCTTTTCCTCGCCAACAACAACAGTTCGTTTCGCGGGCTGCAGTGGGTTTGAAAAATCTACAGACCTTTTTATTTCTACATATTATTATTATTATTACTATAAACTAACCCCAATAACAACATAACATAATAATAAAACGACCCCGCGTCGTCGTGATTGATTCATCTCGAGTTTAGCGCAACGTCAATATAATGTCATTTCTCCTGGGTGCAATAATAACGTATTATATAATAATATATATTATGATCAAATAATATTATCCAAATCGTCAGTATTATTATTATTATTATTATAATTATTGTAATAATATTATAAACGCCGTCGTATAATTTTAAGAATTTAAAATTGTGTATAATTATTTTGTCGTACGGATGTATATTATTTATTATTTATAGAAGATCTCTTGTTTTGTTTTAAGTTTTTTTTTTATTTTTGTAATTTATTTAACTACGTGACGGCAACAGTGCATGTAAACACATACACTATTGCCTCGTGTAATAGGAACAAACCTCGCCTTTTTTTAAAATTTTATTTTTTAGTATTCAAAATGAAAATCTATATGCAATATTATAAGGGAAAAAAATGAACTACTATAATACGAAGAATATAATATGTTAGAATGTCAATCAACTTGTATGCTGTCAGTTAGGTTATTCGTTCTGATTCTGTTATGACATAATAATTATAATAATAACAATAAGGAGTCTTCCATTTCAGTCGTTTTCCTCATAAAACACATCGTCATAAATGCATATTCGATAATATGGTAATAGTATTATGTTTAACATGAACAAATTTTTACATTGTTTATTGTTCGCCGCTATACTTAACTGAGTGTTTTCCATTAAATAAGTATTTAACTAAATCGATAAAAAATAACTACCATACCTACACTATACAATAACTATTAAGCTAATAAATAAATTATTATTTAATTACGAACAAAATTAGATTTTATTTGTTTATTTAAAATTAAATTCGCCGTGCCGAATGTCCATTATTAACTACAACACGAATGTTATTTTAATCGATAAAAATATTTGCCAAATTAACTGTTTAATATTTATTTCTAAATATTATATGGATAAACGTATGTAAACGCCATCACGATATTTGTAACAATTGAAGAATAATATTACATTTTAATGAATATTGTGGATGAATAAATTTTAATTTCATCGATAAAATTCCGAACTTTCCTCAAATATTTTTTACACAATATTTTGGTTTATATTTTTGACTAAGTGACACCTTGAAGTATTTTTTATTCAATTCGTTCAACAAAACGTTAAATTTACAAAACAATGGCTGTGTTGTACTGATATTTTTACTGTAATAATATAGAAAATAATGTGTGTATATCAATCAGAATGATAATCATGTATTATAGTTTCTTGCATTTCAATAAATAGCTCAACGTTATATACTTATTCCTACTGCAATGTCGTTTATACGCTAATATTATAAATTTTGTTTTATTTCAAAATAATATTTGTACATACAAATTACAAATTATAAATGATAATATAGCGTATACTACCTATATTTATATATATGTATATTATATTATATAAATGTCTGTCACTCGTATTGAATTGACGACTATATATTATAATGTAAAACTGTATATAATAAAATATATTATATTAATAAATTATCGGATTTTTAAAGAATTTTTTTAGAGTAGTCATATAATTTTTATAATAGCTAAATTAACACGTGTTGATAAAATAATTTCACTGTTTTTTTTTTTATTTATTTACTACATTAAAAAAAAAAAAACAAACATACGCTATAATACTTTTTTATTAGTAATAACTTGAAAATAAAACTTAACATTGTTATACATACGATTTTATCATTCCTATAATGACCACGCTATTTTTTTTTAACTTTGCTAAATACATTCTTCAGTGCCAAAATTTACACTTGGTAACATTTTTGTGTGCGTGTGAGAGTTATTTATGTGTTAATTTTTTTCTTATTATTATTAAAAACCGAAATAAGACATACAATTATTTTGGACGGCTAAAACCACAATATTATAATTTAACATGTGTCGTCTTATAACATAATTAAATAAAATTATTATAAGAAATTGTCTTATGTAATCTTTAAGATGTGTAGTACCTACGTATATTTGTATTTGTTTGCGTATAAGCTTCGAATTGTGTAATACTTATTGATTTATCATTATTATTTTTTAATTTTACGTAAACTACTGATTATGCTTAATCGTGATATATTACGCGTAACCATGTGAGTTTAGTTTTTAGATTATTTTTTACACTTACGAGACCGATTGTATTATATTTTAACAATGTACCGATTGTGCAGTATTGTGATTTGTTAAGTTGTTTATTATTATTATTTTGTATTTCATTTAATATTATTTTAAGATTTCATACTAAACAAAATGTGATACCCTACTTAAATGTATGTCCAAGTCCAACCATCTAAGTATTTTGTATGACCATTAAATGGATTGTATACTTACCTAAACGCGTTTGTTACAATATTTTTATCGGGTAACGCCTGTGTACCTACCTATATAGCTACCTACCTACCTACGAATTTAACGAGTCCTTAAAGTCCTCCTCCGAAATAGTGATTTGGACTTGATTAAATTTTGATTACTCCTTGTTGTATACACATAATAAGGCTGTGCCTATACGTGCAGGTCGGAGTATGTATATAGTATATACTTCCAAAGGTATTCGTATACTATATATATATTTAACTCCATCCACTTGCGTGCGTGCGTACTTAGGCGATGATAATAAAAATGCGAAACGAATTCATGCAAATGTGGGGCGGTAGTAACAATATAATGGTTTTTACTTTTCTAATTAACTCTGGTGTGGGTTAATTATTGTACGAGTTATATAACTACCGAGCTGATAATTAGTGTAATAAATATCGGGCCAAACATTTTATCAAGTTCCCCGTTGTGCATGTATATAGGTGCGCGTGTTAGTGTAAAGTTATACAATAATAATATCATATAAATAACTAAATAATATAAAACATAACACTATACACAATATATCATATACCCGCGTGTACACGGGAATCGCAATTGTTTAACAATTGTTCAACGCAGTACGTAGGTAGGTAAGTGTGGACTAACACATAATTAGTTCTGTTTTGTGTTTGCGCAGAAGAAGAGATAGTATACCTATGGCTGGCATCGAGTTTGAAACGTTAAAGTTAGTTTGAGTGGTTACAACGGAATTAAAATTCAAATACGACGATGACAAGACCCAAGTCCGTTGGAGAATTTATTTTGCAAAATTAATCCTCCCCTAGAAAAAGTGCCTTTTGCGTAGTACTTACGATGCGTACAAACCGATAACATTATTTTCGACCGGAACAACGTGCTCGTCGTTATATTATATTCGAGCCAAAAATATTACCATGACAAAACTTATCGCAACTCGAAGAAAAAACAAAACGAATCTAATAATTTGTTCTTCCTTGTAGAATCACATTAACATACTTTGTTTGAAACGACGTAGGCGTATATATATATACCGAGGACTATATAATAATGGGCGCGGAAGACACGAAAAATTAAATTAAGGAAACTGGTATTATGGTATAGGTATACCTATACATATACCTACTAACAGACAAACATTTTTTTTTTTAAATAAAATTACTTTTGTTTTTCTCTTTAGTCTTGAAATTATAATAATAATACGAAGTCTATATAATATCCGAACGGCTCGTTCTAAAATATTAACTGAATAAAATACCTATCAAAACTTTTCGTACAATTCTCGCACTTAGTTTGTACAAACTTAGACGCTCGTATTCAAAATAATAATTGTTTGGGTACCGACTTTTAATGGATTCAATTTGTTGATGATTTACGCGTAATCTTCGGGTTCTGCCGTACGCCGATGTCGAGAAACAGTCAACTATAATACCTACTCTGTTATACCGAGTGCCCATATGAGAAACGTTGTATAAAATATACAGAGTGATTCCCCAAGCATGCTCACTCGCATTTTTTTCATTTAATAATGAATTTATTCGAAATGTTATTTTTGGAATTTTTCAATTGGTATACTAATACTAAAAGACCGTATTTTCAAACAACTGAGATTTTTTGCACAACTTA